GACGTTGTAGTGCAGGCCGCGGAAGAGGCCGCTGAAGCCGTCGGTGCGGGCAATGTGGCCGAGGTAGGCGAAGAGGCCGGGCAGCTGCAGCATCGGCCGCCCGGTCAGCAGGCTAGTGGTCGGCTTGCCGGGCAGCGGCTCGTAGCCGAGCCGGACCAGGGTGGCCATCAGCTGGCCCGGGTGGCGGACCAGGGTGCCCAGCGTGGCCTGCAGGAGGTGGTCCACGCTGAAGGCGGAGAGATGGGCCGACCAGGGGATCACTGGGACGTCGAGGACGTTGATGACGGTGTTTTTGGCGGTAGTGGCGGTGGTGTCATTCTGGTCCATCACCACCACATTCTGATCATCATCCTCATTCTCAATCAGCTCCAGCTGACGACGACGGTGACGGCGGCGGCACTGCAGCTCGGGAAGAAAGAGGTCCACCTCCCAGGAATCAGCAAGAGACCAGGATGGAACGGTTGTAGTTGGTGGCTGTTGTCCTCGAGCATCCTCAAAGAGCTCGGTTGCAGTGTTCGCGTGCTCGTTCGCCACCACAGCCAAAGCAGTGTCCTCAAGGTCGTGGTCGCCTCCAGTCTGATCAATGATGGAAGCCTGTTGCTCCATTTCTGCCTAGCTGATGGAAACCTGCAATCAACCAAAAAGAAACAGTCAATCAAAAAACAACAAAACAAACAACTCGGGACTAGTGATGAATGGAGCAAACCAGAACCGGTGGCCATTTTTATACAAACACAACAGCAAAATCTTTTGAGTTCTAAATCTTTCTGACTCTCAACAATTACCTGTTTCGGTAGCATCGTCTTCAAAGAAGAACTCTTGAAAACGTTTTCAGATTGGGTTCCGCCTTACCAGAACGCCCGNCTTCGGTAGCATCGACTCAGAAGAAGAACTCTTGAAAACGTTTTCAGATTGGGTTCCGCCTTACCAGAACGCCCCCGCAGGGTACGTTGTCTGCGAGTGGTCGTCACGAGCTGTTTTTGGCGCAAAACGTTGCCAGTCGGCTGTTCAGTTTCGTTTTGTCTGCCGTTGACGCAAGTCGCTCACTCCGTTTTTAACGTTTCATTTGCTCGCTCGCTCTCGTCCTCGCCACCGTCGACATCCTCATCACATTTCATCACCGTCTTCCCGTCCTCGTCTAGTCTTCAACGATTCTCAGCTCAGCTCATCACCTTCCCAAGCAATGGCCGCCGACGCTGCTGNTCCTCGCCACCGTCGACATCCTCATCACATTTCATCACCGTCTTCCCGTCCTCGTCTAGTCTTCAACGATTCTCAGCTCAGCTCATCACCTTCCCAAGCAATGGCCGCCGACGCTGCTGCAAAGAAAACGATGAAGGAGATGGCCTTGGAGGCACTGGACACGCTCGGCCGCAGTCGCAAGGGCGTCTCTGTGGTGAAGCTAAAGAACTACATTACCGGGAAGTGGGCCGTGGACATGGCTCGAAACAAGCACCTGCTCAACAAGTTTCTCCTCGATTCGGAGGCCAGCGGACTGGTGGTTCATGTGACGGGCATTGGCTGCTCGGGCTCGATTCGCCTGGGCACTGAGGGGCGAAAGTTGCTGGATCTGAAGAAGAAGAGGAAGGCCCCAGCAAAGCCCAAGGCTGCCACAGGAGCCGCTGCTGCTGCCAGGAAGCCAATAGATGCAGCCCAGAAGGCCGTAAGCAAACCGTCTGCTTCTGAAGAAGAAGATGAAGAAGACTCGAGTAGTGACGATAACGAAGAGGACGACGAAGAGGAAGAAGACGAGGAAGATGACGACGAGGAGGAGAATGTCCCTCCTGTAGTCGTTGTCGAAAAGAAGAAGGCTGCCGCTACTAAAGCAGCTCCCAAAGCCGCAGCTCCCCCAAAGGCACCGAGAGCCAAGAAGGCGGCCGCTGCTCCTAAGGCTGCTGCAGCTCCCAAAAAGCCAGCCGCTGCGAAGAAGGCAGCTCCTGCAAAGAAGGCGGCCCCTGCAAAGAAGTGAATCTCCCCACTCTTTACACTATTTCCCTCTATTCCCTTCTCATCACTTCTTTCATTTCAGCTTGTTCCATTATTCAATTTCTTCCCAACTCTCTCCGTGCCTTCTAAAAGAGCACTTCTCTTTTTCCCTACTTAATTTTACTCCCTAATCCTTTCTTCTTCCTTGACACAGGCCCGCTCTTTCCTCTTTTCAGTAATTATACTTTAAATAAAACTTTGCATAGTTCACATTTCTAAAACATCTTTGAACTTGACTCCCAGTTCTTTTTTTCGGCCACGTGGCATCGAAATTCTCAAGTGCGTGAAACTGCACTTGGAAAATGTTGTGGTGGCGCTCTTTTTCTTTTGTGTTGCATCTGATAACTGTTGAGTTTGATGAGAGGGCGCTGCTGTGCTCAGGCTTTGATCTACAAAAGGGAGCGCCCACCGCCGCCGGCTCTTCACTTTCTCTCTGTGCCTCATTGACTCAACATCCCCAATTTGCGTCATCTCGCTCACCGCCTCCGAGCTCTTCCTCATCTCCACTTTGCTCAATCCTTTTCACCGCCAAAAATGGCCGTCAAGTCTTCTAGTGCTGACACCACCACCGCAGCCGCCAAGAAGA